CAGAACAACATTTTATGCAGTTTTCTATCCTCTCAGATGGAGTATTACTGATGATCTGGAAATACAGTATTGGGTTTATAATACTTTGCACATCTAGACATCAGAAAAACATTGTTTTCCGCAAACCCACAATCAATCAATGCCTGCATTACTTGTGTATACCTTTGCAATTTGACGTTTTTGTTGTTTATTCTACCTCACTATGCACAAATAGCTATTGGGATGTATGTAACTCTTGACACATTTTTTTTTATGCCATCTAAGAAATAAGGATCCTTTGTTTCTACTTTTACCAGAGGTACAAAAATTGCCCCTTCTCCATTATATCTTCCAACTCAAATATTCATGGCCATTTGCTCATACCCAAATAGTAAAGCAGCACTCTACCAGGTGAAAGCAGGGCAGCATCACTCATATTATTATTTCAATATTAAGGTGATTTTTGTACTCAGGTGTTTGTTTGTTTTTTCAGTTCTATAAGGAAGAAGGAGAGGTGGCTGGACAAATTTGCTCAGTGTTTATGTCATGAGTTTAAATTACCAGTATGTTAATGGAATGACCTCCTTTCTAATAATAATAGCGGAAGAGGGAATGGACGGCAAGAGAGAGAAATGGTGACAGACAGAAGGTAAGGACATGGTAGGTGAGAACAAAATAGATGACAACCCCTTGAAAAAATTCTGGCAAGAAAAGAGATGATAGTTTCTTTAAAAATGGCTGCTATGGTCTGATGCAGCACACTTGGGCCACACACCTGTATTAGAGGAGAAGGGGTAAGATGAATGAGAAACGGACAGTCAACTGGTAAAAAAGAGTAAAGGCAGGGAAGCAAGATAGATAAGGGCAAAGTCTTAGAAAATGTCATATGGTATGTATTATAAAAAGATTGCCGCTGGGTTCCTTTGAGCAAAACAAAATATGGATTGAATAAATGTTATTTTTTCTCAATTTTTCTCAATGCCTTTCTGTGTCCAAGTGCTTTCATAGGAATTGTGTGTGCTCAGATATCAACATTGTGTGATCTTGTGTGGTGGGTACACATGCTTGTCTGTCTCTCGGTCCCCTTGAGCGACACAGAGTTTTCTTGAGGGCATAAGTGATGACTTCTACTGAATCCACTTCCAGTTTACAAAGACAATGATTTAATCTTTGCTGGTCAGAGTGTTTAAGCATTGAAAAACATGGTATCACATTTACTAAAGTTACTAAAAAAGCAATATGGAACAATAATGTGAAACTTAAAATGATGGGTTTTTTATTCATCTTGGGCTACAACCGCCTTGGCTATGCACACTCCTCTGCCTGAAATTGCCCTGGAGCGCCCCCATGGCTGAGATACCACAGGCCATGGCTCTGCTTTTTAGCTTAATACTGAACAGTTTTGTTTTATTGTCTCTTGACATTTCCTTAATGGTATTCAACATGACAACTAATGCTATGTCTTTGGCTGAACATTTTCAGGGCTCACACAGATTTTCGATTTTCTTCCAGTGGTGTTACAGCTTAGAGCTGTTGGGGGAGCCAAAGTGAAAAACATGGTAGCACTGCAATGAACCTTTTTCATGAGCACCTATTCTGGTCTGCTCATGTTTACTTTGCTCAGTTGATGTTGTTTTGTGTTGCAAGTGAGGTCAGAACAGCAAGATAGCCCCAAAGTCCCATGATGTCATTTGTATGAAACACAAGCGCAACATAACTAAGAACAACATACGTATGAAGAACACTGCCGCAGCAATGTATCGGCCACTACCCCTGAAGTAGTCCCTCTCATGACTCATCCAGTCATATGATTCCGTGGCCTATTGTTTGCTTAACTCAGGTAGCTAGAAACCTTGGCCGAGTAGGTGCTAAAATTTCAACGTTCAGGAAGTACAAGGACCTAATGGAAGTGCAAAGAAGCCTTAGTCAAATTGGTACTTGAAAAGAGCTTTCAGGCACCACACAGGATCATTTATGCAAGTGCAGTTATACAGTGTTTTGTCTTCATTTTAGAATGTCCTTTTGAGGTGATGGCCATGATAGTCATTTTCTAAACCGCACCAACAGTACCAGCTCAGAATTGAAACTCAGGTAAACCTATGAAAGCAATTCAGACATTTGTGGTAATATCAACATTTCTATCACACACACATACACACACACACACACACGTAAAAGCATAATGAAAAACTCCATACAGTTGCCTCAATTCAATACTCCTTGCAAGCAGTCCAGGGTTGCTAACACAAGTAGTAGTCAGCCTGAAGTACCCAAAACACATAGGCAAAGGGAAATCCAAAATACAAGCAGTGTCGAAAATTCCTGAGAGACAAAGTTGAAATAGGTGCTGGAATGCTTGATATAAGAGACAAACACAAACTGGCAAAGGAAAGCTGCATGGATTATGTGGACAAATGAGCAAAGGAGGGTGAACTGACACAGGTGGATAACATTAGGGTGTAGCAGGGGCGAATTAACAGAATGAATCTTAGAACATTTGCCTGTTTCAGTTGCCTGAAACAAAACAGGAAGTTAGTACACCAACTAAAAAGGAAAACAAAACCAAATACACAATAAGAACACGTTTAGTGAGCAGGGCCACACAGAAAAATGTATCTGTATTGTTGGGTTTATATCTAAACATTCAGATATCAGTCTTCACAGTCAAAAAGGAATTTACTTTCACCTTTGAATGTTTATAGAATGCTTTGGTAATTTTGTGAAGGCAATTAAATTATCTTACATCACACAATAACGCAGCTGAAGTTGATTTAAATGAGATCTCCTGCTGCACTGCAGCCTGAAATTCAGCTCAGATCACATCTATGTATTTATGTCATTATAGAGAAAATGTGACATAAGCTTCTAACACTGAGGTCATTTATCTTTTGATTTGCTCCTTAATTCACCTTTTTAATGATTTTTCCCCTGATTTCTTTGCCCTATTCAAACGTCTCTCATCAAAAATCTCAGTGACCTGTGATATTAACCTTTGATGAGTTATCATCCATCCCACCCATATCTGTGTCAGTGATCATTATTCCATTTTGAGGCCATAATCTACTGTCAGTTGACCACCATGCACACTCAGCACTGTTAAAATCCCCCAAACTACTGCTGCCAAGCATCATCAGCTTTGGACAATCCTGTTAAACAGACTAACTCTGTGCATGGGTACTGGTTGCAAAGTGAGGAAAGTGTGTCACCCATTTAGAAATTCAGGATATCCTCTCTCTCTTTTTCATTTGTTTTTACCAACAGAAACTAACACTGTTTCCTATGAAAAAAGCTTTTTGAAATATAAACACTGAATAAAAAATGAAAGAAAACAATAACTAATGTATTTTTTGTTACTACTTGTCATATCAGCAGATATTTTCTCTGTGAAAATCATATCTGTTAATTTGTGTAAGTTTTTTAGAGCATTATATCATTCATGAAATTAATATTCAGAATTCAAACAGCGATCCAACAAAGTTGAACATGTTGAGTTAAACTGGTCTGTGCGGAATTGAAATAAACTGAACTGATTACAAATTAAAATGATTGTGTTTGAGTAGGTGTTCTGTTTAGCCATCAGACAGCTAACTTTCTCTTAATTAATGTCTCTTTGATTATTTATCAAACTGACAGCCATACAAAAGTATAAACATTTGTCATGCATGCATCGAGAAAAGTCACATAGTCAACATTTGTTATCAATATGTCCAGAAATGTTAAATGGAATCATATTTTCTGGTGGCAAAGCAGATTTTATTCACTCAGGATCACTTTGATCGAAAAGATTATAGTCACTTGGTGTCATTATTGCAACAATTTATAGCAGATTATATTTATAGTAATGATGTTTCTGTTCTGGGACCTGCTTACCCTTCCATATTTAAAAGTGGAATGCCTGAGGCAGCAGAGACCCCAGAGGACTGAACAGAGCAGCATCAATGGTGACAAATATGACACTGATTAATTCATACACAGCTCAAAATGTTGGTGCATGGGTGGACTGTAGCAAAAGGTTCTACATTGAACTTTGAACTTGAGTATGCAAAAAAAGGCTTGAAAAAATCATTTAAATTCTAGAATTACATCGCATGGAAACTGTGGTTTTTGTTTAAATGTGTGGTTTTTGTTTAAATGTAATCTAGTCTGTGAGTTCCAAGATCAGTTTCTGCATTAGTTTATTAAAACATTTGTTTTCACATATGAGTAAACACCTTCAGACTTGAAGATGTATGGTCCTCCAGTAGATCTGTCTTTTAAGGAAATCACCCAGCTCCCAGGTAGTGTCACATATCTTTAGTGTGTTGGTTTATTAGAGGATTTTTTCAGAAAGATGCCGATGATTACTTTGCCATAAAAACATGGTACTTTTAATGCTGACCTGAATCCCGGATTACTCGTGCTGCTATCAATTTAGTTTAATCTCAAATCGTTCTGGTGTAAATTATGTGTGTAATATTTGAAGTTCCAGCTTTCCTTTGACTTTAGCTGAAGCATGCTGCCGTGCACCTGGACACGTAATCCGACCTGCCTATGTGTGACTGGGATAGTGTGACTATAGTCGTCCTTTTTAGGTGTAGAAGATGTTTCAACACCAAATGTGACCGCAGAGTGAACTACTGGAAAAGTGTTTTATAAGGCTAATTGTTCAATATTACATTCAGTATTATCATACTTTTGGAGTTACTGTCCTGTCAAGAAAAAAAGAAACAATTGTTCTCAACTGCATTTAATTAAAACGGACTGTTGAAACATATTTTTTCAAGATTTTCAAATAATTTGAATACTGTATTTAAGGAGATACTCCAGTACTTTAACTCAGGTAAGCATTTGACAGAACTACTTTTAGCTTTGCTGGAGTAATATTTGACCAGGATGTTACAGGATCTGTACTTTTACTCAAGTAATGAAACTAAGTACTTTTTCAGTCACTGTATACATGTATACATACATACATATATTGCTGTGTATCGCTTAAATAGCGAATATCCTGATGCCAATTTCTAAAGAAATTACTTTTGTGCTTGATTTGTGGTTCAGATGCGATGTCAGAAATACCCCGCTGTGGCCTGCGCCCTTTGAGGATATATTCTGAGAAAAAGTACCTTAGCCGCTCCGTCCGCCTCAACAACAACAACATCACAGACCTCTATGGCATTCCGTTCATACTTTCTAGCTTTCTGGCACAGCCATCAAAGCTTGGATGGCTGGACCTGTCCTTCAACAAGATAACACACATAGATGTCGTAAGACTCTTCCTTCTTTTGTTGGTTTTGTGAATTTACACTCTTGTTGGCATCTTTATTTTCTCAGATTTCAGTTTTTATTTCTTCTGTGTTCATTTTCTGCCATGTTTTAAGAGCATGTTTTGAGCTTTTTTGTGAAAGGATCTGTATTCAGTAATTGTTACTCTTTAAAATACTTTATTTGTAGATGCACTGTAAAATTTTGTATTATACATGCAACTGGGAGCTTTGGAATTTATTTTACAATGTATGTAATTGACTGCCTATCTGTGTTATAGGTTTTGTGTGAGCTGCAAGAGTTGCGTGTGTTGTATCTTCATTGCAACAGCATCAAGGACCTGATAGAGACAGACAAGCTGGGGCAGCTGAGGCATCTGCACACCATCACAATGCACGGAAACGCCATAGAGTTTGCCAAGGACTACAGGTGGTAACCTCATTTTCACGGCATTAGCCTTGAACTAATTTAAGCCGATTTGTCCAAATACATTTTCCCCAAATTTTGTTTAATACAGAGTATTAACAGAGTAGGGAGACATGCCCTCATACAGGCAGGTGAAAAGATCCTGTCTCGTTTCAATTTGGTAGCTGTGATGTGGATTGAAGTGGGTGTGCGTCACATTACATCTGAGTCTTCTGGATGATAAATTCAGAGTCCTTCGTAAGAGCTACAATTAGATTGAGCTAATTTTGGGTACATTTTATATAAATCAAAGAATCAATTGTAAGTGGCATTTGTTTCAGTTGGTTTCTAAGAATACACTTTCAGAGAAACAATTTACTACCAGTAAGTTCTATAAACAAAAACATGTTTATCTTTTATTTTCTAACCAGACTGAACCTATACATAACTAGGGAGAATTTTAATCAATGCTAGGAGTTAATTTGTTTGGTTGCAATGGAGCTCCTGTGTTTAAATATTATTTTGTGTGTATTTTTATATGATAGGAAATATGTGATTTGGGCACTGCCTCACTTGAAGAAGCTGGATTTCAGTGTTGTGACACGTGACGAGCGGAATATGGCAAATATTTGGTGCTGCAAGCCTGTGAAAAATGCTATGGCGAGAAACAATTCAGCAGTTTAAGTGGAGTTTTGACTAGATCATTCTCAGCTGTTTTCTGAATAAAATATTCTCACAAAACAACTTTCTTTTTCTGATATCAATTTACACAGTACCAATAATGGTTAATTGGTTAAATCATTAGTTCAATTATAATTCATGATGCTTTGTAGTTCAGAAGCATCATCAACGGCCGGTTATACTCTGAATTTAAGTCAATATCAATGTAAGAAAGTAGAGACAGATTTTTATACTGATAAGCAGAGAGAAAATTAAATGCATAAATGACACACCTAAGAATGTGATATGATCCATTCAGATTGTAAAGAACCTTAGGCCTCTGTTATTATTGTCTGGTCCTATTAGAGAAAAAAATTTGACTATTTATTTGCTCTGAGACTTATTTTCCTGGCAGTCCCCTTGGCTCTATCTTTTACAGAATCAGAGAATCAATGTTTCATCTTTAAGTGATGGGTTGGAAATGTGGCTGAATCAGTATAAAGCACTACACACCAGAGCTGATAGCTAAAACCAAATCAAATCCAAATCAAATCAATTAAAACACATTTGAATAATGAGGAAAAATAACTTCTAATGAATAAATAGCTTACGTGATTCTGTTTCCTCTGAAACCTGCAATTAAACTGCTCTGATGAAATAGGTTTTGGACCACGTATCGTACTGCGCAGCAAACGCCACATGAATGAATAACTTTCAGGAGAGAAGACAATGAAAGAGTATTTCAGAAAATATTTGATTCAATTCCATTTCAATTCAATTTTATTTATATAGCGCCACATCACAACAACAGTTGTCTCACAGCGCTTTCCAAACAGAGCAGGTCAGACCCTACTCTTAAGTTAACTACAGAAACCCAACAATTCCCACCAATTGCGTGTCAATTTCCATCTGCCAATATGCTGTAGTACAAAAACATTGGTTAAAAAAAAGATTTAATTATTGTATTTTAATATTAAGTGAATTTTTAGGGGACAGCATTCTTTAATGATTTATGATAACGAATCACAAATTGGCATTAAAAGCCCTGTTGTGATTGACTGAAGTGCTGCGGTAAAAAAAATAAAAAAACTTCTAAAAGGTGTGGATATGGTTAGTTTTGTAGCTGACTATTTTACATATTTGTTGGATTTTTCTTATCAGAAGTCTGGTGGAGAAGACTTAGGCATTGTGATTTACTGAGACTTGCTGCAGTATATTAACTGCTGGTTTTACATTATTCACTATGGTTTTTAAGCTCTAAATCTTTCAAATGTATTTGACACAGCTGTGATAAGTGTTGCATTTAAGAAGCAATGCAGTGAGCAAATGGGATGTGGTAGAAAAACACACGACGCAGTATATTACAAAATGAATTCAGTCCAACATCATTACAAGTGTTAATATATGAAGAAAAAAAAAGGTTTTGCTCAGTCTATATTGTTGGAGTTCTCCAGGACAAAATTATGTAAATAATTATGTAAATAAATAAGAATTTATTCATCTATAAGGACATATGGGTCAAAATATTTCCCAAAAATTGTGACTGCTGTTGCTGACAATCTAATAAGAGTTTTAGAAATGATTGTAAGTGGAAAATCCTGTGCATCAGTGGACACATGTATTACACCTGGTACAGATTTTGGTATTAGTACTTCTGACAAGTATGAGATTGGCCAACAATGGCAGGCCCTTCTCACTGACCAGTTCCATTGGTTTGGCTTGGTTGTGATACGCAGCCCATGATGGTTTTTTTTTTTTTTTCTAACATAGGTGCAAATAAAACAATCCATCTATGATATCAGTACTTGTCGCCGGTAGGGTGAATAAGTGGTTTGGTGAATTCATTGCATGAATAGCACTGTTGACCCCACATACAAAATATTTTTGTCCACTTATTCTCAGTACCCAGACAGCCTGATTGGTTGCAGTAAACAATTTGATTTTATTTCAGATTCACAGTCACCTTGTGGACTAATGTCTGTGGTACCTGCAAATCCGTATAAAGTAAATTGTCTCTTTATTTAGAGAAATAGATGAATGGCTTTAAAAAAGAAAGCAGGGGGGAATACAGAATATCTTATTTGTTTTGTGAAGAATGAGCTACATATAGTTGGAATTACCAAACTGTGTGCAGTAATTATGTAGTCCTTTAGGCTGTAAACTGTTCCAAAGGTCAGAAACCTGAGCATATTTTAGAAGTCAGCCTGAGGGCTAATGTCAACAGTTGTGATATTAAGTTTTGTCTGCCCTAACAATTTGTCAGTTATTCCTAGTGGAAAAAATATACATATAATACATGTTTTATATAAATTCTTTACTTTCTGAAAGGAAATTGGCTTTAAGGGTTGTCCTCCACAGTGCTTGATAAAGGCTTTTAGAATCTTTTTCTAGGGCCTCTGACAATCTATTAGCCAAAATTACATCCGGTCTCCAAGTATACAGGTTATCCAAGATATTCAGTCTCTTTTTGAGGTTATCAGATGTTGCTAACGGGGCCAGGTGCCCATTCTCAGACAATGAGGATGGTGTATCCCTCCAGACCTGATGATACAGCTCCTCCCTTCCTGCTGAACAGTCTGCTATCATCATGATAGCAGACAGTTTCCAACGATTTGCTGTAAAGCAAATTTAAAGCATGATCTACAGTTAAGCTTTTTTAGTTTGTTTGATTTTTTGTTTTGACAAAATCTTGGCTCAGCATCACTACCAGAGACTGGGAAGCAATTCGGGGATTTTGCACAACAAGAGTCATCTACTTTCAGATAAGTGAAATTTATTAAGTGAGTGGCCAACATTACGAACCACACTTCTCCATCACTGTCCTTTCTAAGTGGTCATTAAATGTACAGTCATTTTCACTGTAGCCACACATCTATTTTGGGAAACTTGAATGTTGGGTTATAGACAAATCCTCCACTCTGAATGGCTCCACAGTGCTTGTTAATGACTAACACACCCCCTACTGTGCCTCTTCCCCACTTGGCCTGTTGTTTCCCCAATCCCTCCAGATAAATGAGATCATTACAGGACAGGATCATTACATTTTGTCTTATAGAATCCACCTCAGAAGTAACCAATGACTGACTTCATTGAGTTGTATTTTAATAAACCCCAATGTGTTTTGGGGCTTAACACCTGTAGGAGAAATGGCCTGGCAGAATTAATAAAAAGAGCCAGTTTCATGATGAGTAGCATCTCATTTTTGTGATGATGTCTTTAACCACCATGGTTTCTGCACTCACAGCAGCGCAGCTCTTATTTTATATCAAAGCCTTGCCAGATATTAAGCATTACATCTACTAATTCTACAATCTTAGATAAGCATTTTTTATTTCTGGATGAAGATTTTATTTTATCACCCTTATGCTTTGATGGAAACAAACTTCCCTTGTGCTGCTGGTTTGTCATGACTGGTTCAGACCTACTGATCTTGGATGCCATCCCCCGAGCTCAATAGGATTTGGTGTAATCCCACGGAGCAAAGCAGAGCAGATGGGCACACAGGTAAGATCACAGTAGTAGAGGGGCTATAATTGGCCTGGCCCTCTGCCCACAAAGCCCTTTTACGGGTAATAGTTTCAATTCTTGATGACCTAATCAGAATTCAGCATTATCCTTGACAAGATCAATTTATATCCCACAGGAGCATTTAATTTAAAATCCTCTTATTCAATTTTAGGTTGATAGCTATTACATTGAGTTGGATTACGGATAAGATACAGCGACTGTATATACAGGTACTATATTGTAATCCTGTAGAGCAGATGGGCAGACGGGTCAGGTCACCAGGGAACAAACAGGTCCATTTAATCTGTCATAGTTTGACTTGGTCATCATATCCAAAATAAAGAAACTTATTAGTAGATGTACCGTGGTTTAATTGAGCAGATGGCTGTCGTGCAACTATCACTTTTCCTTTCTCACATTTTATGAGCCCAGTATAAAAGCCATGAATCAAATCAGCTGTGATTGAGGCGCACCATTACAGCAGCAGTGGTCTGCGTCATGCCTGCTGCACAGCATTTAGTTTTTTACAGGTTGTTGAACAGTGAGTGCTGGGGATTCTTATGCTAATGTCGAGAATGTTTTTGAAAAATACATTTTTATGTACAAAAGAGAACAACTGCATCAACACTGCATGTCTGCCAATTAACAGCTGGGGTATTCAAAAGGTGCTAAAATATTTTTTTAGGCCAAAACAAATTTTTGCAATCTCTTTTGAAAACCACATTTGCACCATTCTGACACATCTTGAGAACTAAAGTAAGCCACCAAAATGAAACTTTATTTTGAGTAAGAAACTGAAGTAAATGTGTTTTTCATTTAGTTTTTTTTTATAATTTTTATTTTTTTTTATTTTCCTCAAAACCC